AGTGTGCGAAATTTTTTAATACTGTGCATATATGTGCGACAGATTTTTTTATCATGTGTAAATTTAGCACATTTAGCACAGTAAATCTGTGTAAAGCAAAAAATATATGTGCAAAATTGCACAAATCGCACATAGATTTTACACACTGCAGACAACTATTTAACCAGATTAAAATTGATTATATAAGGTTACTACTACAAACAAATCAAGGTAACAGATACATTATTATTATCACAGAATATCTTAATAAATAGGCTGAAGTTACTGCAGTACCTAATTGTATCGTACAGATTACAGTATAATTTATTTATCAAGAAATTATATATAAATATGAAATCCAAAAAAATTAACAGATAAGACTATGTCATTTTAAAATGAATTGATATTAGCATTATTACATATTATTGAAAAAAATATCATCTTTTCTCACCTTATTATTTACAGATAAATGGATTGACTGAATATTTCAATCAGACTTTATATACTATTTTAGCTAAATAACATCAAGAAAAATAGAATTTTATCTCTTATCAGCTTTATTTGCATACTATATAGTATAACTAGAAATAACTAAGCATAAATCTTTAAGTTACTATATGAATACTATAACATACTATAGTACCTATAGATCTTTAAGTACTATGACCCATTATAATATAAAATTTGTCACAAATAATAGAATAATATCATCATCTTTTGATAATACAATTCAACAACATCAACACAATATATAGTAAAATATCTTATAATAACAACAAAAGTAAAAAGAATATTATGACTAAATATATAAGAGCATAGATTATCAAATTAAAATAAAGTTTTATTATTTAATATTTTGCAATCATATGTATATAAAGACAAATTCAAGAATAAGTTTAATAGACCATTTTACATATATAGTATTGTATAACCTAATATACAGTGTGAAACAAAAAAAACTGGAATTTTTTAAATACACATTATGCAAAAACTAATGACACTAACTAAATAAAATTTATATATATTTGAAAGCTAAAAACTAGCTAATTTTATTAATATTTTTTTAGAACAGAATTCGTTCACTATTATTTTCTATAATAAGTTCACATCGACATTTTATTGATTTTACTAACCCAATTAGGGTCAATTCTGAAATATTGTCCCATTCTTTGATCATATATCAGCACAAATCATCAGTATTCTTTGGCATTTTCTTCTCCACATTCCTTTTAATAATACTCCAAAGGTTTTCTATCAGATTTAGGTCTGACTATTAGAAGGTCAGTCAATAACTTCAGAAAAATTTTCCTGAAGAAATTTTTTGGTATGATTGCTAGTGTGTTTCTAATCATTGTTTTGCTGAAAACGCCATTTATTTCCCAACAAGTCTTCAATCTCTGGAAGGTGGCTACGGAGTATGTTTACATAAAATTCGGCATTCATTATTTGAGAAGAACAATATAAACTTATTTTTCCTTTTATACAAAATTCTCCCTATTCAAAGATTTTCATTTGATCTTTAGGTATAGAGCGTATTGGTCATTGTCCTTTATGCTAGTACTCTACAGTATTCCAGAACAGTTGGAAGGCAGTCTCATCTGAAAATAGAGTTTTGTTCCAATTATTATTAAGATGATTTTGGGTCCATTCTACCCGTTTACATTTATAGTCTGCGATCAGCATCGGCATTGCTCTTAGAAGGTCTTTTTGATATCCAATTTTAGCTAAATGCCTTCCTACTGTCCTATAGGACACATTCACATCTTTTAATGACAACCTCATTGATAGGGTTTTTATTGAAATAGAAGAATCTCAGCAGATAAATTGGACTAATGCTTTTGATACATTAGCCGTAATCTTTTTTGGGTAACTACTTCCTTCTACACGCTGAATCATCCTAGATTCACAAAACTTAGTAAGGTTATCATATACAGTCGTGAGAGAAATTTCAGTGCATTAATAGATTTTCCTAGCCTTCTGAATACCCTGATTCTATAATTGTAAGATCGCTTGACGGTTAGTTTTTTGTCTGGAGGTCATCGTTTCTAATTAATTGAATTTTAGGTTTTTTTTTAAAAAATTGAAGATATTGAGGGGAAGAAATGAAAAAAAAATTTTAATATTTAGTAATACAAAAAAAAAAATTATATACTCACTTACCTTATGATTATTTTCTTTTTTACATAATTCAGATTGAACTTGATTTGGCTGAGATCTACATCATTTTATTTCTTAAAAAAAATTTCAGTTTTTTTTGTCTCACACTGTATATAAATTATAAACATTAAACGAAAAAATCCTACATATGCTAATCAGCTTAAACCTTATCTTGAAAAGACTAATTAGAAATTTTAGATTATCATTATAGATCAGCAAACCTAACATTATAAATATGAAGTTTAGATAAACAAAAATCTGTAAGAAAAATGACTCATATTACTATTAACAATCTTATTTTATAAGAGTTACAAAGGATTTCAGTTCAAAATTTATCTCTTAAATTACTCAAGCTTTATATTGAGAATATGTCTTATGCTGAAAAAGTTAAATGCACTTATCAAATCCTCTTAAGAGCATAACATATGAAAAATTGTAAATAAACACTTTCTTTTTAAGATAATTATTAAATAATGATAATATGGGGCCTTTACAATAGAAAGGGAGGAAACTCAAAAAAAAATAAAAAATGAGTTAATAATAAATCTGAACAAATTATAGTATTTGAAACATTTTTGGCTTATAAACTAAAATTTTAATTTTTTTGGAGTTTCCTCCCTTTCTATTGCAAAGACCCCATATATTTTTTGAGATATTGAAGATTGCTAAGGCTTATTCAGATATTAGTTATGCCTAAGGATTATCAATCTGAAGCCTTAACTTAGGTCTCAGCTATTCATTGATAACCATTATCCACAGAGCTTCAGAATTCATACATCCTATAAAGGTAAATTAATATTAATTTGTTTTTTAAACAATACAATTAAAAAATATATATTAATAAACATTCTGTTAGAACTTTCTCTAACTCAATGCTTCAAGGATCTATAAAGTTAAATAAATATTAGGTTTTTTTATAATTAAAAAATTCTAACAAATTTTCCATTAAAACTTTTTTTGATTGCAAATTCGGTCTGTAATTATGAATTTAAGATCAGTACTAGAAACTAAAAATGATGGACATATTGTTAGCAGGAAATATTCGAATAAGTTAAATCAGCACATGGCACAGCAAATTTAAAGTTTTAAATTTTAAATTTACAAAAATAAAACAATTATAAAAATTTGCTCGACACATAATATCATATATTTTTATATATTCGAATATTTTATTTTCGAATGACAATTCATGAATGAAAACTAAAAAGTAAAGTGACGATGACATTTTAATTATCATCATTTAATATAACACAAATTCTGCATGAGTATAACTAATGAGAATATTCTAAAAAAATTTTTTTAAGTTCGCAACGTATTTAAAGCTTCTATAAGAAGGTAAAAGCATTTACGCATACAAATCAAACTATTATTAATCAAACTCTACTTACTATCTTGCTAATAAGGTTATACAATCATATGGATTTACCAACCGCATAGAAAATTAATGATCGTAATCTTTTAAGATTATATGAAGACAGGCTTATAGTGACTTATACAGGTGTGTTTATTATATTTCATTATTATAATTTTGCTGTTTTCACTTTTTCTTGCATAACTACAATTTTTTTTTTCAAATATAAAGGTCTGGGTGGAAAAGAAAACTGTGCTGCAATTCGAGTAAATCATCCTATTCCTAAGCATTTTGAATTATTTTATTTTGAAGTTGATATTATAGATAAAGGGGAAAATGGGTGCGGTAAACTTTGAAATATTTTCCTATGTTTGATATAAGATAATCATTTAAAATTCTAATTCAATAGGGAGATTGGAATCGGGTTTTGCACACAAGCAGCTAGCCTAAATAAAATGCCCGGTATGTTTACCTTTTTAATTTTATCACCGCTAAGGGAATTTATTTATTGTACAGTTTATATTGTAGGTTGGGAATATAGCTCGTAGGGTTATCATGGTGATGATGGATGCTTGCATTTTGAAGGTCTTGACGAATCATATCGATATGGACTAAAATTTATAGCTGGTGATACTATTGGATGCTGTATAAATTTTAAAAATTATACAGTATTTTATACCAGAAATGGAGTGAATCTAGGTAGCTATTATATATTATTGCAAACTCTTTATTAAATAATAGGTATTTAACATCTTTTATATTTTAAGGTATTGCATTCAAAAAGTTAAAAAATGCTTTGTATCCTTATATTAGAATGATGTCGCCAGGTGGATCTGTAGGAGCAAACTTTAGCGATAGAAAGTTCAAATATACAGGTATTATTATTTAGTTTCTATTGTTCTTTACATATCTTATTAATGAAAATTATTTTCTTAGTGATGAATGATGATGATATTTATGAATCTTTAAAGAAGAATTGGTCTGAAATACTTAATTCATACAATGATAAAATATTAAGTCTACAGATTAATAAATTTTCAGATTTAATACAATCATCAGAAATTAAACAAAATATTAATTTATTGAAATACCGAAGAAAATTGTATTTTGTTATAGGTGAATATAAGCTAGCACTTACAGATTTCACAAAGTTGCTTGAATTTGATGCAAATAATACATTTGCATTAAAATATCAAGGAGAAATTTATTATATAACTGAATTATATGATGATGGTAAATATAATCATAAGTTAATAAAACTTAATTTGCCTATATTTGTTTATTAAAAGTAAATTATTAATTTGAAATATAGAATACATCTCAAAGTATATTGAAGATAATTATAATTTATCAAATATTATTATATTTAATTATTAATTAAAAATTTTGAAAAATAGAATGCATATGGAGATGTATTAAAGGTAAATTAAATATAATTATTTAATTATATAACATTTTTTTTACTAAAAATTTAAATATAAATATTAATATAGAATATACTTCAAATGATAATGGTAAATATAATAAATAATTATTATAATTTATTAAAATACTATTATAATTTATTAATTTTTTATTATTCAAAAATTTATAATATTAAATTTATCAAATTTAAAATCTAGAAACAATTTTAAATAATAAAGATAATTATTTTTAAATAAATAAATAAATTAAAATTTGAAATATTATATTTTATCAAATTTAAAATATAGAATTTACTTTAATTAATAAAAGTAAATATAATATATAAATTATAATTATAATTTTATAATTTATTAATTTTTATTTTTTTAAAAATATTGTAGATTAATCTTTGCAATAAAAAAAAGGGAAAATAACTAGAAAAAATAAAAAATGAATTAATGCTAAATCTGAACATATTTTAACCTAAAAATTATATTTGGTATATAAAAATAAAATTGATTTTATCAGCTGTGTCTTCTCTTTCTATTGCAAAGATCCTAAATATCTAAAAATAGAAATAATATAATAATAAAAAAAATATTAGAATTAAAAATGAAAAGAAAAAATGTTAAAAAATAGAAAGAAAAAATATTGATAAAGAATTAAATTAAAGAATAATCTAGAATTATAAATATAAGTAATATTTATCTTATAAAAAGAGACATCTTTAATCTAAAAACAAAAATTATATAATAATTTCTTAGGATAAATTAAAGAATTTAAGTATAAAAAAATATTTATTATAATGTTTTATATTAATTTATTTGCTGTATTATAATTTATTTAGAAATATTAATATTAATTAAAATAAAAAAATATTTAGAATAATAAAAAGAAAATTAATTATATAATAATATAAATAATAAAAATTAAGAAAAATAAAATAATATAAAAAAAAAGATATAACAATAAAAAAAATGAATAAAAAATTAATAATTAAAGATTTAAAAAATTAAAAAAGAAAAAAAAATAATAAAAAGAAGAATATAATTTAAAGATATAATAAAAGAATAAAAATAAAAAAAATAAAAATATACCATTAGAATTAAAAAAAATATTATCATATTATATGAAAATTGTCAGATAATAATACATAATAATAATTAAAAAAATATTATATCAGAAAATCAGAAGATTTATATAATTTACCTAATGACTAAATTTATCTAATTTTTTTAATACATTTTCATTTTAAATAATTTTGATATTTTTATTATTTTTATTATTTTTACTATTTATCTTATATTACATATTTGTATTTTTATTTTATTTTATTATTAGTCTAGAATAAAATATAGAACTATTTATGATAAAAAAATATCTTAATGTTTACCTACTCAATAATTGAATTAAGCTGATTAGCTTTTATAATTGTAAAAAATTCTAAATAAACAAAAATCTGTATGAATTTTTTTAGTTAAGATTATTTCAAACTTAATAATAGTTACTGTTTTTCTAATTTTATTATAACTGAAATTTATAAATATAGTTAATTTATAGTATAATAAAATAATTAATTACAATAAATTCATTTTATATAACTTTTTGTTTAAGTTGTAAATTAACTCTTTTGTAAATTTTATAATTTTATTATAAGATACAAGTTATTAATAAAGGAATCAATTTAAATAAACACAAATTAATTTTTCTTTAACATTATTCCTTATTTAGCATTTGCTATGATACTTATATTAACTTGCTTTTAAATTTATTATTTAAGTTCAACTTAATAACTCTTAAATTTTAAGATATAATAAATTATTAAAATAATTCAAGATGTTATACCTATAAAATATAAAAAATATCTTAAAATTAAAAATTTTAACAAGTAGAATCAATTATTATAGCTCTTTTGACTTAAATATTAAGATAACTAAAATAAATCTAATAATAATACAAAAAAAAATAAAATATTATGACAATTATAATAATAAATATAAAAGAAAAAAATCTAATGAAAAATGAAAGAAAAAGAATTATAATAATATAATATGAAAATTTATAATAAATTAGAATAAATAATAATAAAGAAGCTAAAATATAATAAAAGAAATATTTAAAAAAATGATAAAGAAGACAAGAAAGTAAAATAATTAAAAAAGAAGAATATTTATGAAATAAAAAAAAAAGTAAGAAATAAATAATAAATAATTACTTAATTGATATTAAATATAATTGAAGATTATAACTACAAATAAAAAAAAATATGAAGAAGAAGAAAAATTAATAAATTATAAATATAAAATTTGATATATAGCATAAGTAAAAAAAAAGTAATATAATGAATATATTAAATTTTGAACAATTAAAATTAATTTGTAAAATAAATCATTTTATAGCAAAATATAAATTAAATATTCTCTCTTACCTATAATATAAGTCTATGTAATAATATTTTCTATCATATGTATTTGTATTTGCTCTTATTTTGCTGATATATTAATATTATTAATATTAGTTCTAAAATATTTGACAAATATTTTTTTACAATTAAAGCAAGTATTTATACATTTATAATAAATTGAACTAAAGTTAAGTTCAAAAAAAATGTTTCTTCTTTGAAAAAGAATTGTTATTTTTTGGATATATATAGTAATTAGTGATAAAAGTATTCAAATAAATCTGAATAGCTATTATAAAGAATTTTTTAATACTAAAAAATCTAATACAACTTAAAAGATTTATTACTCTAATATTATATTATAAAAAATTCATAAAAGAATTTGCTAATATCATTGAACTTCTAAATAGATTATTTAAAAAGAATATCTATTTTATTTAGACTTAACAATAACAAATGTTTTGAAATACCTGATAATTCTACCTATTCTTAGAGTTCTGGATGAGTCAAGTTAACTCACAAATCAGATAAGCTGAGTCGAGTTTAAATTAAGTCAAGTTTATGTTTTTTTGACTCAATTATTTGTGAGTCAAGTCAAATTCAAATCGAATTAAATATTTAACACAACTCAATTTAAACTCAATTTGATTCGAGTTGACTCAAGTTGACTAGAGTTGACTTGAACGATAAAAAAAATCGTTCAAGAAGAATGATAACAAATCGTTCAACTTGAATGATAAAAAAATCGTTCAAGAAGAACTATAACAAATTGTTTAAGTCAAACGATAACAAATCATTTAAGTTGAACGATAACAAATAATTTGACTTAAACGATAAAAAAATTGTTCAAGAAGAATGATAACAAATTATTCGACTTAAATGATAAAAAAATCGTTCAAGAAGAATGATAATAAATCATTCGCTCCTCTTCTTTCCCTCTCCCTCCCCCTCTGATCTTTTCATTTTTTTTATTATTTTTTTATTTTATTTTTTTATTAATTAAATGTTTATAAAAATTTAAAATTGACTTATAACTTGATTTGAACGTCAAGTTTAAAATTTATATAACTCAAATCAAATCAAATTGAAAAATTTTATAAAATAAATTTGACTCGACTTAACTCGAAAAAAATGAGTCGAATAGAGTTGGTTTTTAAATTCGACTCGACTCGATTCATTCGGAACTCTAACAATCTTATGATACTTATTTAGTAATTTTTCATTAAAATATATTCAAAAATAAATTTATAAAAAGAATAAATCTATTTGTAACAACATGTTATACATTTTTATTTGTAATAACTTCGAAAAAAATCACGTGATATAATACGTTGCATTACACCAACTGTATCTGTTATTGTTATTGTTATATAACGCAGCATGACGCAGTTTGTATCACGTGATGCAGATTTATGTTTCATGAAAACTGCAGCGCTATTGATGCTTGTATAACATATATTTCTTGGATAGTAAAATTTTTTTGCTTCTTGTGAAAAAATTCATATTGTATCATATAAAGATACTTACCCCAGAGGTTGGACGGTAATGATGATGGCAATTTAAAAAAGAATTAAGATAGTTATGCGAGAGCAAAGTGTAAAGGTCTTACCTCTGGAATCAGAATTGCAGTAATCAAATCCCAATAGAATTGCCATTCTTCACTTTTTTTGCATTGCGGTCATTTTTTGCTCAAACTCTCAATATAGGAAGCTTTCTCGCTTCACTTTTTTTTGTGTTACGGTCATTTTTTTGCGTAGTATCATCAAACTACAAATAGAAATCTTCTTGCTTCGCTTTTTTGCGTTGCAGCATTTTTTGCTTAAACTTCTGATAGAAAGCTTTCTCGCTTCGCCTTTCTTTGCATTGTAGTCACTTTTTTTGGGTAGTGGTCATTTTTTTGCATAGCACTTTCTTGCTTTACTCACAAAAAACAATTATTATTGAGATGAATATGTCTGATGAATTGCATACCCAAGAATCCATTTAAAATAATACAACATCTCTTAACCCAGAAGATGAAGGTGAGATTATTAGTTTTTTTCGTTTTGTCTATTTATCAGAG